TGTTAAGCTTTTGTATGTTTTATGTATAACCAATCTTTTAGTAGGAATTATTAACAGCTTTGCAGATTTAAAAAAAATGGTTTCTGAAAGCTTTGTTAAAGCAGAAAATGTCAGTTCCAGCAATCCATACTTCTCTGCTTAATACTTCCTTGGCAAGATCTGTCCATGCCAGTGCAGTCTGGGCTTTAGCAATCACAATGCCAGGAGCTTGTAGTGCACACAACATTCTCAGTTATACAAACAGTATTCATTTCCTTCATCCTCACAAATTAAGAGTTAAACTCTAAGTAGGTCTTTAACATTTTCTTTCTTAAGACTTCTCTGTTAAAGCTAATTAACTATAAATTAGGGCTTGAAAAACGTGAGCAGAAAACTAATTTTTATCAATAACTGAACCATACTAAGGGAAATAAAAAGGGTTAAGCTACGTTAGTCAAGGGTAAATCAACATTCTCTCTAACCCCATCCCATTAACCCAACTGGTTTACAAAAATAAAAGTGCGTTATTATTCAGCTATTTAATACAGCTATTTAATACAGTTGTGAATAAAAGTCATAGTAAAGAGGAAAAGAGGACTGCTGTATTTTTAGGCATGAAGAACACCAACTTAGATGACAGGTTTTCCAGTATTTTTGTATTTTTAAAGACAGAACTGTATACATCTAAGAACTAAAGGCTCAAAAAAGAACCTTATGGAAAAAGAAACCTAGTGAACATATATAATTCTGAGTGATTTCGTTTTTTCAAAAATTTCTTTTGTTTTTGGGAGGAGAATCTTTTTTTTGAGATGAAGTCTGGCTCTGTTGCCCAGGCTGGAGTGCAATGGCATAATCTCAGCTCACCACCACCTCTGCCTCCCAGGTTCAAACGATTCTCCTGCCTCAGCCTCCCGAGTAGCTGGGACTAAAGGCTTGTGCCACCACACCCGGCTAATTTTTGTATTTTTAGCAGAGATCGGGTTTCACTATGTTGGCCAGGCTGTTCTCAAACTCCTGACCTCGTGATCCGCCTGCCTCAGCCTCCCTAAGTGCTGGGATTACGGTGTGAGCCACCACACCCGGCCAGGAGGAGAATCATTTATAAAAACTTCCCTATAGAAATAGCTTCGTAACATTTTTACTAATTAAAATAAAAAATAAATTATGAAACCTGGCATAACTAAAAAGCAACCATAATTTGTATAACAGAACATCAGGGTAGGTATTCTGTGGCTTACTATTTAGAGGAATTTACAAAACTAAAATTAAAAATGGTACTTAGGTTTTTTACTCTTCAATCCCTCTTGGTGATAAGACTGGAAGTTTCTTAGAGTAAAATGCTCATTGGGTGAGAAGAAAATAACACAACTACGGATATATGCCATTCTAACATTTATTCTATATATGCATTTCCTTAGACAAGGAAAGGGCACGTCAGACAAAAGTACTTGATCCACAAGGAAATCTGCCAGTGATGATAAATATTTAACCTTGATATGCACTTGATCAGTAATTCTGGCCCTAAACAAAATGAACAATTAGAATTATCTTCAACCTTAGCCTCAAGTCCTCATCTTCTCTCGCACACCCAAAACATCACCTAAATAAAGGATCTGTGATATTTACAAAAAAGATAATATTCACAAAAAAGGTAAATCTCCCATAATTGCCAAAAATAGCAGTCCTGAGGGTATTTAAAATGTGAGTTTTCAGTGCCTTAATCTAAAGGAATAAAGCTTAAACCAGAATTTCAGGGATCAGCCTTTGGATGAAAAAGTACACTCCCCTAAAATGGTATTTCATAGCCAAGCCCAAATTTAGGAAATGAAATTAAATAACAGCCTGTCTAGGGCACGTTAAACATTTTACCTTTTGAAACCAAATCAACTATGTTCTTAGTTTTAGTAAGACACAGGTTTCTTTATGGTTGGCCATAGCTACCAAGCGAGTAATGATTTTTAACCATGTTGCAAAGGGGCAGAGAACGGGCTTGGAGGCTTGAGGGACCAGGAGGAGACAGTATAATGAGACCTAAAGGGAGAAGGAAGGATGTATGGAAAATGGAGCCTTTAAGGGCTGATGGTTTTCACCAACCTTTGAGGGTCAGTTAGGTGACTCATTACTCACTTGACAATTAGAAAATGGATAGAAACATGGAAAATCTTTTTTAATGCTGTAACTATTTAAATGTATTCTTCTAAACTAAGGGCCTACAGAGAAAGAAAGCCTTCACGTGGGCAAACTTTAGGGCACTACCCTCCTCCAAAAATAAAAGCCATTTAGAAAATGAAAGAACAGTAAGAACATAATAATAAATGATGGAGACCTATTTGTGGTTCTAGATATATATTCCCAAATAGGTTTAACAAAAAACATTTTACTGCCTTTAAAAAGAATCTACAAAAAGAATCAAGAATATGAAGTAAAGAAGAGAAAACTATCCCCTTATATCAGTTCCACCTAGCGGGGAGGGAACAATAGGGCAGAATTGATTCTCTCTTCAAAAGAACTTTTCTTTGTTAAGGAACCCTAGTGATTGCTTTGCCCTGGTTCCTCTCAACTCCTTATCTTCTTCTACATTGTTCTCTATAATATGAGAACTCCAGCCTTTGCTTCTACCGCTCTTAGATGCTACTATACCTATAGGAAGGCTAAGCCATAATTGGCTTAGTAGCAGAGCAAGAAAAACTCAAAAAGGCCCAAATATAACTTTCTGCTTCTAGTCCCATTTTGCATAGCCAGTGATTTCACATGTGTACTCTGGAATCACAGAGGCTTGAGCTGAAATCTTGGTTCCATCATTTATTAGATATACACATTTGGGAAAGTTCCTTAACTTCTGTGCACTTCTTACTACCTCCTCATCTATAAAATGGGGATAGTAATAACTCCTGCCTTTCACAATTAATGTGAGGATGAAATGAGATATTTAACACAGTTTTCTGGTACTTAGTAAATTCTAAATAAACATTAACAACCCATTATACTCTGCTTAAATCCAAGATTCCCCATGGTCTAGTGCAGTTGATTACAGAATTGTGACCAGCACTTTAAAAAAAAAAATTCATACACACACACAAAATATCGTAGTGCAATAAAGGTAAGTACTGTTTCAAAAATATTTTTTTCAGATACACACCCACCCACACACATATATTCTTAACTTAGCCTCATTTAGCTTTTCTGTGACACCTTCCCTAAGTAACTTCCACAGACAGCACATGTGTCTCTTCCTCAGGGCACAATAGTATCTTCAGAATTTTGTATGAAATTCTAGAACACTTAACTGCACTGTGCTTGCTTATATGTGTGTTTTTCCACGTCTATTTTCCCACAAGAATGTAAACTGCAAAGAAAAAAACTGCCTTATGTTATTTATTTCTGGCGCTTGAAAAACACTGGATGCTCAATAAATTTTTGTTGAATGAATGAGTAAAATATCAAACCCTAACAGGTATTAAGAACACACAAAAATAATCACTTTCATTTTTATCTGATCAGGTTTTATTGTTATATAGGAATTTAAATTTAGCTGTAAGTCACACAAAATCTAATATAAATTTTTTCTCCCATAGTGCATAGTATAGACCCTTCTAACAGAGATGAATACATTTACTTAAAAAACTGAAATGAGTAATGTGCAAAATGATTGTTAAAAAGTAGTACATCCAAGCATACAGACGTGTTGCACAGTTAAAGTTTTATTGTTTTATTTATTTATTTATTTATTTTTTTTTTGAGACAGAGTTTCGCTTTTATTGCCCAGGCTGGAGTGCAATGGCGCGATCTCGGCTCACTGCAATCTCTGCCTCCCAGGTTCAAGCGATTCTCCTGCCTCAGCCCCCCAAATAGCTGGGATTACAGGCACGTGCCACCACGCCTGGCTAATTTTGTATTTTTAGTAGAGATGGGGTTTCTTCCATGTTGGTCAGGCTGGTATCGAACTCCTGACCTCAGGTGATCCACCCGCCTCTGCCTCCCAAAGTGCTGAGATTACAGGCGTGAGCCACCGCGCCCGGCCCGGCTGAAGTTTTATTTAAGCAGATCAGACACATTCATGCTTCTTTTTAGGGGCAAAGAAAATTGAAAAAAAAAGTTATCGGACAGAAAAGGTTGCTTCTATATGACAAACTGTCCTTTCATAAATACTGCAGGTTCCATGAGAACACATCTAAATAACAACACTGGGCAGGTACTTGCTTGAGTACTTTTAAAACAGAAAAATATGAAGAACTTTAATATTTCCAATATTCTCATATTATCACAATTCTCAATTCTATTCAAATGCAAAATTCAAAGTTATACAAATTTACCAACTCTGCTTTTATTCCATCACAAAAAGCAAAACACTGGAAATCAATTCTAAAGAAACACTTTTCAACATGCTTAGAGGCAACAAAGGTTAAGTCAACAGACTATTAAATCAAAGTTACTTATAAAAGTTGGTTTTACCACTGGCAAAAATAGATGCAAATAAATATTTGCTCTAAAATGAGACTTAGGTTTTTAAGGTATGTGTTCCTTTATAATGATCCTCTAGAACATTTAATTTCTAAATCATTAATAACTTGACTGAGAAATCGGCAATTCTCAACTTTTTAAGATTACATGTTTACTGATAGGGTAAGGTATATACACGAAATGCAAAGAAAGAGAATGAATTGTACTGCTGCTTCAGTAGTCAGGAATTCGCTTCCTACCTCAGACTAATGAATGATAACTTAAAGCTTAGTAAACACCTAAGGAAATAGCAATTTCAGAAAATCTTCCTTCCTTTTGTGACTTTAAACATATATTTTAGGTTATTATGCAACTCTATTTCAAAGTAATTTCTTGGGCTTGGACATTAAAGTTAAGTCTTAACAGTTAACATTGATTTATTGAAGGGATAAAAAAGATAACCTGTGATTTAGAGTCTAAACCAATGGAAATGGCAGCAAGTCACTGCCACTTATTAAAAATTCTTCCCTCCATCTGAAATAATCATTTTAATGAACCTAGTAAGGGTGGTTAACACTCACCAGTATGAATCTTCTCATGTCTCTGTAGCAGGTACTTCTGTATGAAACGCATGTCACATTGACTACATTGAAATGGTTTTTCGCCTTAAAATAATTTCACATCCACAAATTAGTTACTGAATAAAACAACAGTTTTTAGTTACTGTTTCTGAGGAAAGAAAAATCTTAGATGCCCAAATTTTGGAAAATTACAAAATAGCCATACAAATTTTTGATGTTATTAACAGAATTTTATTTCCTCTCCATTTTTTTCCCAGGATTTAAAAATTCATACTCTCACAATCACATAAAAATGAGATTAAATTTGATCTATATATTCAAGGGGGGAAAAGGAAATAAATAAAACAATTTAAAATTAAATTTTAAAATCATGGGGTAAGAAAGAACTCTACAGGTTCTCACGTGTCTTAAACATATTTTCTTTCTTTTTATTTGGAAGAAGGTGTGCCCATCCTGTTTTCTCCCTAGTTAACCATCCATTTATGCCCTTTTACATATTGTCTTCAGAACCTTCAGAACTTTCTAAACATCCCTTTTTAAAAAGATCTTGTCTCTTCAAACTTTCTCTCTCTGCTGGGGCTTTTCCTTTTAAGGAAAGTATTCTCTGGACTGTTCTATGCTGAGAAACCTTGTTTCAGTCCTGAAACACTTCTACCTTAGTACTTTCTCTCCTTCCCTTTCACTATACCTCCTTAAAAGAATAGTCCACTCTAAGTCAAATTCTTCACTGCCCACTTGTGGTTTAACCCTTATACTCTGCTTTCTGAAAAGCTACTTGTGATGTCCTTGCTATTTATTCCAAAGATTTTCTTCTCGGTTCTCTAACCTCTATCCTCCCTAGGGCACTGGCACTGTTGGTCACACCCTGCTTGGAATTCTAGCTTCTTTCAGCTTCTGGGACACTATTTTCCTAATTCATCAAATCTCCCTTATAACTGTTTTTATTCCTCATTTCATCTTACATGTCTAGTTTGTTTACCCAAAGGTCTGCCATCTTTAATACTGTTCTCTACAACTTCATTATCTTAGCTATCATTTATTTATATTTGATTTCCAAATCCATGTTTTAAACTCTGCCTGGATATTTTGCATACACAAAAAATGAACATTGACAAACAGGCTTTTAATAATACATTCTCTAATCATTTCTCTAGCTAAATGGAGCACATTAAGCCAAACAGGTGTCCAATTAAGACTATTTAATTAATTTTACACATCCATGCTAACTGTTTTCTCACTCAACATTTTTTCCTGGTTTCCTTCTGACATTCTGGCCTACAAAATCTCTGATTTGGAATGCCAGATTAGCTGTGGTCTTAGGAATGAATGACGTTTACACGAAGATGAAAATAACAAAGATAATAACTTTATGGCCACAAGCCCATTTCAATTCAAGAAATACCTGTATGAATGAAGACATGTCTCTGTAAGTGATAGTTCGTTCTAAAGGCAGCATTGCAGTGCTCACAAACGTGAGATTTAGGGGTTTTCAAACCAAGTGATCCATCCTCATTTATTGTAAGGATCTAGTTCAAAAAAAAAGGCAAAAACAAAAGAAATAAGTTTTAAAAACGTAATTAAATAGTAATTTTTAAAAAAGATAATGCAAACAACGGTCACCAGAGATTATGAAATATTTTGTTTTTAAATAATCTTGAAAAGACTATTAGAATAATGTTACCATTAACTGTAAGAAAGTACAACATGACTCAGAATGAGCAAAAATCACTAATAAAACCTTGGAAGCTGGTTAAGTAAGATCTCATCACAGCCTTCTCCTCTGTAATGCTGATGCGTGATGGAGGTCCTAAGTTTTCAGTTAGGGTGAGCACAGGTATATTTTCAATTTCAAATTCTCATATATGCAGGAAAAAAAGCCTTTAGACATGATCTAAACATCAATCAGTATGGGACTAATTAAATAAATCATGGAAAATGAATACAATTTAATATTATGTGGTCGTAAAATAAAATGACAAAGCTTTCTAATACTTATATGAAAAGGGTGTCAGGATTTGTTAAGTTAAAAAAAGGCAAAGTTTAGAAGTGTTTTGCTAGTTTTGCAAAATTTAGTGTATAGTTTTGCTAACTTTTGTATATAAAAGGTACATACAGGAATATATATTTGTATAGGCATAAAAACTACTTCAGAAGGATATATATAGAGAGAGAAGTATATATCCTTGATTATGATGGCTGGGGAACTGTGCAGACAAGAGATAAAATGGGAGGGAGGTTTTACACTGTATACTTAACACATTTTTTTGAACCATGTAAGTGGTTACCTATCACTTAAAAAAAAGAGAGAACACTTAAGTTTTTAAGTTATAATATGTAGAATTTAGGGTCTGTTTCCAGACCCTAAAGGTTATTCTAGAACTACTAAATTATTGTTAAACATATTCCTAAGAATATTTGTCAAACAAATAAATTACAAGTGGGTATGGGGTCCATCTGGGACATAAGTACTGAATAGGAAAATTATTCCTTAAAAAAATTTTTTTTAAAAATAGAAGTGGGTAAAAGGAAGGAAGACAGGAGTCAAAGAAAGCAACCTTGTATTTCTGAGCTTATTGAGATTAACAGTATTGTGAGTCTCGTCTGGATGGCACCAGAGAAAAACTCACCTTAGGCTGCATGTATTCCAATTTATCAACAACTTGTTCAATGTGCAACATTAAGCTGCCTCTTGGCCAGGCATGGTGGCTCAAGCCTGTAATCCTAGCACTTTGGGTGGCTGAGGTAGGTGGCTCACTTCAGCCCAGGAGTTCAAGACCAGCCTGGGCAAAATGACAAAACCCCGTCTCCACAAAAATTAGCCAGGTGTGGTGGCACATCCCTGTACTCCCAGCTACTTGGGAGGCTGAGGATGGGAAGAACATTTGGGCCAGGAGGTCAAGGCTGCAGTGAGCCATCATCATCCCACTGCACTCCAGCCTGGGCAATAGAACAAAACCCGTCTCCAAAAAAAAAAAAAAATTGCCTTTCATCAGACATATGGAAGAGTGAAAATTATTCCTTTTTCATTATTGAGGAAAGCAAAAAAAAAAAAAAAAAAAAAGCAGAATATGATGTTGAAGCAGCAAAGAAAACCAGAAGATCTGATCAGGAGGAGTATGCCCAGTGAGAGGGAAACAATGCTCTAGGTGCGGGCATACAGAATGGGAGCTAAGAAACTGTCCAATATAGGTAGAGAAAACTGGGAAACAAAGAACTGTGGAAACTGATGAGGGCCTGCAAACACACAGCTATGACGCCTTCTCAAACCTAGAAAAGGGTAGTAGGTAAAGGAAAACGGCTTTAATCCTTAAAACATTTTTACTTTAAATTCAAGAAGACAGTTTAGTTTATACTATATGCAAATCAGCAGTGATTATTATGCAAATTATACAGGGCATTTGGATTCTGGGCAAACAGCCAATGTGGTCAACAATGCTTCAAAGTCTATGCACCAAAGTCATGGAAGGGAAACATTTGGCAGGAGAATGGAAGTGGGTGTCACAGCTTCCTGAGGAGAGTCAAAGAGAGTGGAAAGCTTCATCTCTGGGCCAGTCCGTTTTAAATTTTTTCAGCCCCTCCAAGTCACATAATAATAAGCAAGTTAACACTGTGCAAAAGGAAAACACACAAAATCTTTTAAAATATGACTCAAAATATTTTTGACATAAAAAAAACAAAAAGATGTTAAATACTTATATAAAATGGAACTAAAAACAAGACAGCAGCAGGTATTTTTTTCATGTATGTTGATAACAAATAAGAAAATCCAACTGCCAAAAAACATGGCACTTCAATAGCTTTCTGTGGCATAGCAACTGCAAGGAAAGGCTTTGTAAGGAACAAATCTGGCCCAAGTTGCTTAATGTGAAACGGATGTAATCCTTGACTGTACAAAGTCCTTTTATGAAGAGTTGAGGAGTTCTAGGTCATTGTTTTCTGGTACTGCTGCCTTTCTTTGTAGATTCAAGCCTTAATTCAAGGTGAATTTTGTGGATGAAACAGCTACCACTGCCTTGTGGATAAACACACAGGAAAATCTAGCTTTTTTAAAGTTCAAAGACAGAAAGACCAAATTCTTGGACATTTTATATTTTCCTTTCTTTCTTTAGGCCAGAGTAACAAACATCTTTGTTTAAAGGACACAGAGTAAATTCATCTTGACTCAGACGAGCATCAATGGCCGTTCCAATTTGTAGCCTGTTTTAAATATATCTAAATGATTTTTATTCCCCCTTATAATCTCAGTGTCCAAAATGGTATCTGGAGCATAGTGGGGACTCTATTCCTGTCAACGGACCTGGCTGCCTGCTGTTCATATCAAATACTCCTCTTAGCTTACCACTTTATTGTTTTTTAAATGTGTTGCTAAAAGCAAAACTTTACTTTTCAATTTTTTAGTCTTCAGATAACTGAGTAGTGAGAGAAGCGTGTAGTTAAAGAATAAAATCCCTTAGCAGAACAAAACTAGCACATTAACGCAGGCAAAATTTTCTTCCCTGGTATTGACTTGCCTTCTTTTCTCGCTCACACCTTTTCAAGACCTTTAATGTAGAATGTGATCTACCAGCTGAGTGTGTTTGCCTTGGAGATTAGCAGTCTTACCTGCAACTGGTTCCATAAAATATTTTTGCTTTTCTTTTTCCCCCAACATATGAACACCATTACAATTAAAGAACTTTATGTTTAAAATGTTAAATTCTAAGATGCCTGCTATAGCATTTTCAGATGCTTTATCTTGCCTCTTGTCATTGCTACTTCAGGAGAAATATGGTATATTACATACACCAAGTAATCAGGCTTTAGCAAGTGGAGAAATCAGTAATACTCTAATTCTCAACACACTAGATTTTTATTTATGTGTTCAGTAAATTTAAAACAAGATTTTATAGAAAAAAAATTGAGTATCAAATGGAATTTCTCAGTTAATCTGCTTTCTTAATCTCATATTCATTGTGATATATTTTCTGTTTTAAGACAAATCCATTACCAGCCAGCTACCTAAATATACACATATGGTGAATGTTATCTTAAATAATATACCCACTTTAATCAGGCAAAGCCCTAAAGTCTGCCTATTCAAATTCAGAGATTTTTCACTCCATAAGGATCACTGCCACTGACTAAATGAAACCTGACACCCCTTACTGAGAAAAAGTTCTGTTTTCCTAAAAGGCAGACACGATTTTTCACATTCAAATGTGTACTACTAAAATTATTAAAGCATATTTTAAACTAAACACTATAAGTTTTATCATATATTCCTGAATCAGTCAAAATCAGCTTCTAAGCCACCGAAACTCAAAAGACAACTTAGATAAGAGAGTTTATATTTCTCACCTATTATGAGATGTTCTACTGCAACTGGGGATGGAGAATGACAGCTGTGACAATTGTCTTTACTCTCCAAATCCAATGAGAAATGGAAAATAGTGCAAGTCCAAAGATAACACAATTAACAGTCACCCTGAGTAATACCCATCATGGCAACTTGACTGTCCTGGTCATCCTTATTAACCCATTCTAACATTGTCACTTTCTTTCATTCATCGAGTTTTTTTTATTGTTTCTCAGTACTACATTTTTCTCATCACCAAATTTCATTTTTAAATGGCAATTCACTGTATCATAACCATGGTACAACAACTATGTTAAGCAAAATGACCCTGGGTTTTAGTAAAGGCTTTTTCTTCCCTGTTTCCTGAATATTAGGCAAAGAAGTAGGTGATATTTTCTTTTTTTTTTTTTTTTTTTTTTTGAGATGGAGTCTGGCTCTGTCGCCCAGGCTGGAGTGCAGTGGCCGGATCTCAGCTCACTGCAAGCTCCGCCTCCCGGGTTTACGCCATTCTCCTGCCTCAGCCTCCCAAGTAGCTGGGACTACAGGCGCCCGCCACGTCGCCCGGCTAGTTTTTTGTATTTTTTAGTAGAGACGGGGTTTCACCGTGTTAGCCAGGATGGTCTCGATCTCCTGACCTCGTGATCCACCCGTCTCGGCCTCCCAAAGTGCTGGGATTACAGGCTTGAGCCACCGCGCCCGGCCGTAGGTGATATTTTCTAACGAAAGATTTACATCAGATTTTTTTTCAAAGTTAGGGTTCAGTTCTATGGGAAAACAATTTGCCCAAAACACACAATTTCCTGGGAAAATTAGATAAATAAAACTCTATTATTTTGCCAATCTTCTTCCTTCATTTTCTTACTATTCCATACTTCCTGTTTTCATCCTCAAGTCTTATAATCAATTCATCTTTAAAGCTACTTCTTCCTAAATCAAGGTAACATGTAGAAGAAAGCATGACAAATGTCTGGTACATCTACTTCTCTGTTTCTTTTCATTAAATCTTCCTTATTTTACATAATTCAATCTTAAATCTTTTTTATACAAAAATCCAAAATTTTTTCTGGGAACCAACAATATATAATAAATTGTTGGGAAAGGATTCTCTATACAGTTTATAATCTATTTGATGCGTGAAAAGTACTCTTCCTCAGTTCAGCGTAACTTTGAATAATCAATTTTTATTCAGATCACCTAAAGACCTGAATAAAATTTTATTCAGATCACCTGTTTGTTACAACAAACAACCCAGTTCCTTTCTTCTGATGAGAGATCCTGGCACATAACAGGCACTCAAATTATTTGTTGAATAAATGAAAAGAGAGATATATTTCAGAATAAAAAGATGTAATTAAAAATATCCTCTCTCTCAGTTACTAAGGAGCTTGAAAAGACCTATATAATATATACGACATGGGATTTAGATAATGTTACATTTTACTGAAAAAAATTCTTAGAATTCATTAATGTTAACCCAACAATCCTCCTAAAACCCTTCTGAGATGGAAAATGTTACCTTCTAATTCACGTAACAAGTGAATACCAAAGTCCAGTAGTAATACCTCATTTATTCAGAAACTTCTAGTGTCAAGATTTGAGGTTTTCAAGCTTAAGAGTATAACAATCACCAAAAACAGACTCAAAGGGGCAAAGAAAAGTGATGTTAAGTGGCCACCCAAATATACAGCAATGTAAAAATGAATAGCATGTCACCAAGGAATGAGAAGTGAAGTGATAATAAGCAGTATAACACTTAAAGTCTAACAGTGAGGATTTTCAGGGTCAGGTGGGTGGGGGAGAGCCCTAAAATCTCTGTTCTCCTAGAGGGCTTCAACTGCAATACATGATTTTAAAAAATGTTTATGTCAGCTTCAAGACATTAAACACTGAATTACGTTGAAGTACACTATATTTAAAAGGAAAACAACACATTAAAGATTTCCCAAAAAATGGTGAAAATGAAATTTGATATTTAAAAGGTGTAAGCTTCTATTATGTAGAAAACTTACTTTCATAAAACAGCTAATTCCACAACAGATGCAAATAGCTTGACCTAGATGATGTTCCCTAGCTCAGTTATCCTCTTCATCAGGCATCCTGCCAAGTGTATTTAGGCAGCTTTCAAGTATCAAAACCTACCTTAAGATGATCAGGCTTTCCCATTGCATTTAAGTTTTCCAAAAAAAAAAAAAAAAGACTCAGCTTTGCCATATGAGAAAGGTTCAGAAAGCAATTATTGCTTAAAATCCATGGCAGCTAAAAGATGACATAACAACACAGTACTTCACAAAACTTATAAAGGGAGCCATAGTTACATGGATGTTTATAAGCTCTGATATTTTTACTAAAACTCTATCGCATTAGTTATATTTCTTGTGCAGGTCCCCAACCTAATACTACACAATGGTGACACAAACTCAAAATATTCACAATGGCAAGATTTTAAGATTTGGAAAAGGTGCTGGGGGAGAATGGAGTCCTCTAGGCATAATAAATCATAATTCTTTGAGGAACTTAAAATTGTTTTTAAGGAATTTGAAACAAGTAACACTTACTGATTTACAAACATGGGTGAGTTTCTCTTTCTCTTCATACCAAAGAGCAGAACAAATTACTTTAACAAAAGTTTTGAAGCATAAATTTTTATACACACTCCTGAGAAAATGTAAAATTACTCACTGATTATACCTTAAAGTTCTAAGACTCCAGACACAAAAAACCCATTCATCTGGAGATGGCAGACCAGTGGTTAAAAACAGTTCACAACCATTCCCTGTCCCATTACATGTAACATGCCAGGATAATTGAAAAATAATTGTTTGTTCTTTATTAAAACAAACAAACAAACACAGGGTTCCACAATGTTGCCCAGGATGGTCTTGAACTCCTGGGGTCAAGCAATTCTTCCGTCTCAGACTCCCAAAGTGCTAGGATTACAAGTGTGAGCCACTGTACCTGGCCTGTTTGTTATTCTTACACCTCTGTCTTCTGTATATTGTTTCTAGTCACTTCGTCTTTCTAAGAATTTCTCTAAAGGGCTTCCTTAAAACATTCTCTTATATATACTATACTTAGAACAGGACGACTCTGTCATCTGGCCACTATAGGTATATAAATACTTAAATAATACCTTTAGAAATATTCTAAAATGATACATTATAAATGAGTTTTATCTCAAATTAGACAAGCAAAATAGCTTAAAGTCTGTAAATACCTATCTATATTTACAAATACCTAGAACATATCACCAAAAACAGAGTCCAACACCCAATAAGCAGATAATCTGGGTTTTAGTCAGAATTTCAAGAAGAGAGCACACTTGAAATAGATACCCCATAGATCAGCAATGAATCCAAAGTAACAATCAATCACTATCACAAACGATTTTAGAAATAATTTTGTACACAAAACCTGGTATCATTCTATATTTGAAGAACTTGATTTGTTCATTAATGTAAAGAACCCCCAAAAATGATATAAATTACTGAGAAAAACATTAAAACCCCAAGAAAAGAAGTGGAGGGAGAGGGAAGAAAAGAAGGGAGAATTTCACAAAACATGAAATATAAAATGCCAACAAAAATTTTAGAAGTTTAGTGTGACCAGAAACTAAAGAAATTCAAATTTAAACTATAATGAGGCTCCCATCTTAAGCAAAGTCACTCAAGACCAGTGAGAATGCAGACAGATACACCTCAGGTTCACTGCAGGTAGAAATGTAACTGGTATAACATTTCTGAAAAGAGTAACATTATCAAGAAATCTTTCTAAAAGTTCACACCCTTTGATCAATAGTGCACAAAGATACATACTCAAACATTTTAAGTGCAGCATAATTTAAAACAGAAACAAAAGGACTACAACTTTCAAATAACATAATAATGTCCAATAAAGCAATAATTAAATATTAACACGATCTATCAAAAAATAGATTAGGTAGCTAATAAAATGATTACAAAAAACATTAAGAATTTAAAGCACAAAAATTGCTTACATACGCTTTAAGTGTTAAAAATCAGCTAATTAAATCTGTATTATACCTACATATCTATCCGCACATATTTGAAAAAAGATAGAAAGGGAATATGGCAGAAAATCCAAGTAGTTATCTCAAGGAAATGTAACTATGGGTTATTTTAGTCTCTATGTTTTTCAAAATTTGCTATCGCAGGCATACTTATATAGCCCCCAAATAGTGGTATGCTGGCAAATATTTAACCACCAGCTAAGGAATCAGGGGGTAGAGAAGCATTTGCTGATTTCTGGGGTGTAAATATTCCCACCATAGCTAATTATAAGCTACCAATCGTTTTGGCAACTAGTTTGCAAATGAAATCTTGCAAGCCAGCTCGAGCTGGCTCCAACACTCCAGTAAGTCCAAAAGTATAAAAAACATAAATAATAATGATGATTATAATTTCAAAACACAAATATTTAAAAAGCCATCCAAAAAACCTATTACAGTATCTTTTTTAAAAGGACTTTCTCACCACATGAGGGAAGAAAAAAATAAGACTTAACTATAAAAATGCAAATATACTGCAGAGAGTTCAGAGAATTTCTAGGAATACCAAAAATGCTGCATACATTCAGCTATCACTATACTAAAGAGAAAAAAGCAGGCCAGGAGTGGTGGCTCATGCCTGTAATCCCAGTACTTTGGGAGGTTGAGGTGGGAGGACTGCTTGAGACCAGGAGTTGGAGACTACCCTGGCCAACATAGGAAGACCCCATTTCTGTAAGAAATTCAAAAATTAGCCAGGCATGGTGGCACATGCCTGTGGTCCCAGCTACTCAGGAAGCTGAGGCAGGAGGATCCCTTGGGACTGGGAGACTAAGGCTGCAGTGAGCCATGATCATGCCACTGCACTCCAGCCTGGGTTACTTGTTGATTTACTAACCCATTCATTAACCCATAAAATATTTATTGAAGATCTATTATGTCTCCTATTCCAGGCTCTTAGGATACAGCTGTGAACAAAATGAAGTCCCTGCCCTCATGAAGTTTACATCCTATTAACAGGGATCCTATACCTTTTGCTGATGAATAACTGGTATTACATTTTCCTGAAACCTTCATATAAAGATAAGGAAAACTAACACAAATGAGAAGAAAGGGCAATGCATGCCATCTGTTAGAGATATGGAAAAAGAAAAGTTCATTTTTAGACAAGTCAGGAACATGGTGAAAGAGAAGCAGAAAAACTGAAAGCAAGGCCCACCACCTCCATGCAGGCATGCACCCCTTCCTACTAAACCACACAAGACTTTTACATCTGCCTTAGGGTCCAGCCAGGTTCTTGCCTATAGAATTAACCAACAGTTGGAATTAAGAGCTTGTGATTACCACCTTAATATATTGTCTTACTTTTGCGGGAGAACGTTGTTTCCGCTTCTTCTTTTTCTGTAAGTCTACTGGCTCTCTGATTTGTTTTTTGTCTCTCATCAGTTGCTCAGATACATCAGTAAAAGTAATTTCCTGCTTTACACTTATCTGTTTAAAAAAAGAAAAGCCAATTTTAGACACAAATAAAAAGTTCATTGTGACAAAAGGCCATTTTATGTTTAATCCTTTGCTAAACCCACATATAGGTAGGTGCTCCCAGAATGATGATCTATTTGTGTGTGTGCTAACTATATACTGTGCTATAGAATTCTTCAATAGGCAGTGAGTAATAAGAATTGAGAGTACATAAATTGAGGGATAAACAATTTTTTTAAAAAATCTACCTGAGAAAAAAGATTAAAGACATCCTGGGAAAACATGATCGTAAGACCAAGCAGAAGTCAGGAAATCGTAACATCAATTTCATTCCCACATTTAAGGAAACTGATACTTAAAAGCACACAAAAAAGGTTAAGTTCCAAAAATCACAATACTGAATGGGCTCTGTATTTATAAAATATCAAGTAAACCACACAAAATTCTAAAAGATAATTTATCAAAAGAAGGACAAATTAACAATGAAAATCTACTCATCTTCATGCTCAACATTTTTGTCATATGACTCAAGATCTTAGCCAGTACTTTCCCGGGCTCTACAACAAACCATCACCAAATATGTGTTTACAGAAGCAAGTATAATTTTAGGCCGCTACACTGTACAAGACATGATACTAACTACATAATAGAGAAATACTAGAAGAAACATTAAGATTTCAACAATGTTCTTCAATTTTCAGATCTCAATTCTCAGAGTTACTTGTCCTTAAAGAAAGAAAAGAAAAACCAAGGTTCTAAGATCACTAATGGTACTGTCGTCACTTCTCATCAGATTTGATGGTGTTCAGTCATCCCCTCCTCACTGCTACATTTTCAATCTATCCTTGAAGTTAAACAAGAACCTTAAAACTAAGAAACTTTCAACTCAGGCTATAAAATACACTAAAGATCCTTGAGAATAACTCAGTAAGAACAATATGCTAATGGCTACATTTTCAATAACCATACTAAAAAGCATGATGCAAAAGATGATCAACATCTTACAGATTCACAGTGTAAAGGTGGAAAACAGCGGTGTAGAAGAGGTTCACAAGAAAAATGCAACCCAAGCCAGGAATCTCAGACTGACCAAATAAAAAGTGGAAGTTCTCATGAATTCCTGAAATGCAGGCCATGGGAGAACCACAAATCAAGAACCTTGGCACAGAAACATGATATAAATGATGATTTATTTAGCTAGTAATTCTACCAAGTTACAGAAGGGTGCAGTGACCACTCTTCTGGCTTTGTTGGTATCAATTATTTTGAATACGAAATAGGATGGTAAAATCACCACCTACAAGACTTGGGAATACAGACCTCTTATCACCTCTGAAGTGATATTTACTGAAAAACAATTACTGGGAATGAGTATGAGACAAGAAAAGATAACAGACTATGTAAGCAGCTGTGGAATTATTCTGCCCTATTTTGAAAGAGTACCAAAAAGTAGTGCAAACATTTCTGTCAGCGTGTAAATTCCAAATAAACCATGGAAATGTAGCATGCGGTAATAAAAAAGAGGAACTCTTTTTAGCAAGTGTCATGAGTGTAAGATAAATTCATAAATAAGTTCTGCTGTTAACTGCCATTCACAAACCAAAGAAGAGACTTTATATGCAAACAGTAAAACAGATTAATACATATATCTGAACCTGTTATTTCCACATATATGGAAAGTGATTATATGAATACTATGACTTTCACCTAGTCCCATTAGTACCCTCATGCCTATTTGCAGGCCTGAATTTCAATGCTGTTCTTATTACCAGTCCAGAAATGCCACCACCATCACCATCCACCACCACCCTACCTGTCCTTCTTCAGATATGCCTAAACACAGACATTTCTCCTAAAACTCTAAGGCCCCTGCTCATCCACTGAGCCAATCTCCCTCTGGGCTTCCCACTTTGAAACTACAGAAGCTACCAGACATGATTTCCTTTTCACATCTCCCTTCTATACTCATCTAACTTCTTCCCCAAGTTAAGACAGAAGTAGAGATCTATAGTGTCATGCTTCCTCTCCTCTTGCCACTCCCTATGCTGGTTCTTTCTTGCAAGTTCTAAAACATCTCTTAATTACCCTATTTCTCATTTTCAATCTTTCCCTCCTTATTCTCCTGACTTTAAATATAAAGAGTCCTCCCTATACTGAAAATATCCTTCCTTTGATTCTAATCATTAACTCAACTCCAGAATGACTTGCTTTATCAAGACTTATTTCTCACCCCAAAATAAAGTCTTACTTTTATATTTAACTATTTAGTGTACATGTGTCTTGATATTTTAAAGTAAGATACTCTTTATTGGTATTTCTTACAACAGCTGTCATTCATTTTCTCATTCAATGGCTATTAAGTGCCTGCTATGTCAGGCTAAAATACTATAACAAAAACATTTACTGAGATTGTAATACATGCAAAGTGCCATTCTACATACATTCTAGATACTACATTCTAAATATGAGATTTCCTTTTCAAAGGTCTTAAAATGTAGATGCAGAGTTCTGATGCATTACCAAAAAAAAACAAAAAACAAAAAACAACAACAACAACAAAAAACACCTAATACAGACAGCACATGTCATACTCAAACTGAACGGAACAGAGAATAACCGTAGAAATTCAAAGGGAGAAATAAAGACAATGTGAAACAACTGCATCAGACTTTAGGGACAAAACAACAGATGATGACAGCTGCAAGTTTATCACATATATCTCCCGTTTTAATTTTTTCTTGCAAATTTGCTACTCTTCTCAACTTCATCTAGTCTCAATAAGTGATATAACAAATATAAATTAACTAAAATAATGTTGCCAGACATAATATGATGAATAAGTATTTCACTACAGTTGCAAATTTTGGTCTACCCTCTCTCCCCACCTTCCAAACAAGATGACTGACTCCTTGGAATCATTTTAGACTCTTCCTTCTCTTTATTCCCAACATCCTGCACCCACACCCAGTGACATCCACTTCCCTCCAATTAACCATACAACCTCACTGACTTAGAGCATTATCATCTCCCAATGTATTCTTCTACAAATAAATTAATATAAAACTATTTCCTTATCATTTCCTCAGTGAGGAATTGGCAACAGACTGTTGCCTATAGTATCCATTATCAGCTCCCCAGCTGAACTTTCAAAATTCTATATGATCTACTTTACAGAAAAGACCTAAGGTACTTGGCAGAAGGATATGACCTTACCATCACTCCTCTCCATTTCTAGAGTCACATGTTCTTATCAATTTTCAATTTCAAATTTTGATGTTCTCTCTCATCTCCCAACCCACTGGAGTAAAACGAAGGTGGTCTTTCTGTTTTCTCCTATACTCTACTACTGATTCCATTCCCACCCATTTCCACAGCTCTGCTGTTTCACTATCTATTTTATAGTCTCCCTGACACTACTGGCTACTTCTTCTCTTCTTAAAAGCACACTGAAATTTCCCCTATAAGTTCTTGTGGACCAAAATTTTTCCAGCTACTATCTTCCTTCTTTTGGCCAAATATTTTGAAAGAATAATCTGTAGTCAGCATAGAGATAAAATAATTGTGCCCAAATTTAGAGAAATGGTTGTTCTGAGAGTAAAAGTAGTACACACCGCCATATAAAAAAAGATGTGTTTAACTATCACTAGAAGGAACCTGTTCAAAATACTGCCTAGGCAACACCCAAGTTGAATCAAGGTGACTGAAAGTATAACAGGTTTAAATATAAAAGGAAAGGTATGACACAATTAACGGTACTGTAAATGTACTGTCTAAAGAATGTCAGCAATATGGGGGTATTCATGGAGTCCAGAAAAGGAGAAATTTAAGATTAAGTTTTAATTTGCATGTATATTTCCAGCATAGAACTGCAAGAACAGTTTGATGTAACCAGACAACAGGAAGACTTCAAATTCTAAGCTCACAAAGCCACAGAACAGGACAGGGAGGTGAAGCAATACACTGATGGACAGGCCTGTGTGAATCATGAACTATACCTGTCCCGTTTGCCTGATCCATGACTGCATGCAAAATTTGGAAAAGAGCTACATTTGTCAGGCGAAAGTCCACAGCTATCCTTTGATTTTGAAAAGGTTCAGAGAGCCACAGTTGGAAACAAACATTCTGGTCTATATACCTATTACATTTCTCACTATAAATGTAAATTCTGGTTACTAGATCACCATCTTACAGTTTATATAATTAAAGATGAACTAGATGAACTGATCAAATCAAGTTACCTTACCTGAATCAGTGCTGACCATCCCTATCCTACTTGGAAATTCTAGTCTTCCAAGTTCCATAAAATCACCTAATTTAAGTTCTCTCCTTTTCTTCATAGCAGTTCTTCTGGATCCATCCTTCCAGTGATATGTGCCTGTATTTTGTAACAGTTTCAGTAAATTTACATCAGTGGTTCTTAACTCTTTATGTTTAAAGTCGGGAGAATAAAAAAGGAAAGACTGAAAATGAGAAAAAGGTCAGGGTAATCAAGAGATGTTTTAGAACTTGCAAAAAACAGTCAGCATAGTGTGGGGACTCCTGAAGGTCCCTTATACCCTTTTAGGTCATTCATGACATCAAAACTACTTTCACAATAGTATCAGATTTTTAAAACTCTCTTTCTCTCAAAAGTATACAGTGGCATTTTACAGAGGCTAATTAAAATGTGATATCACCACAGACTGAATATATGTCACCAAAGATATGCGTTATATCCAGTTATATTAAGCCAGATAATAAAGAGATATCAAAAAATGTAAAACAATTTCCCTCTTCTCACTAAATTTTTTGTTTTGGAAAACAGTTATTTTTTATTTACAAATGTTACATGCTAACATGTAGTGAGTTTTATTGTGACAAATTAATACGTAAAACTCTAAATTTCTCAACTTTAATTTTGAATATGGTAAATACTGATACATAAAACCAACATAAGCAAAAGCTCTCAGGAGTCCTCAGCATTTTTTAAGAGTATAAAGGGACCCTAAGACCAGAATATTTGAGAGCTGCTA